TTTTTCCAGTGACCTCGTGGTAGAGTGCGCGATGGCATCTCACTAAGCCGCGCAAAGTTCAGCGGCGCAAGATGCCCGTTTGCGACAATATCGCATACGCTAACCGAGCAAACATCGGCGTTTGTAACGACTTGGCAAGAATTCTCCTATTACCGAAGGTGCGCGAAGGTATACAAGAAGCTCGATCTCCGAGGAGATTGAGTCTGAAAACTCAACGCCAACATTCTCAAAGATGTTTGCATCGTTCTCCACGCTATTCGCTACTTCTGCCGCCATCGCATGTATCTTCACGCCTGTTGCTCATGCCTCCCCGACAAGTGCGGGGCTATCGGCACGAGATGACTACGCCCCATCCCCAATTCTGCCCAACGCACAATCCGTTTGGACCATTGGGGAACAAGGTCTCGTCACCTGGTAAGTCGTATGTATTCTGCGGTTCGGCCTTCAATCGAGCTCGAATCGTCATTAGGAATAAATCTCTTGTCCCGAGCACGGCGACCACCATTCCCTGGATTGATCTATATGAGAGCTCGCCCTTCGGCTCGGCGGAATGGGTGGTCAACCTTGCTCAGAACGCCGACCCCCAGCCTGGCGAGGTCCTCGTGCCTGTCCCTGACGTAGCTCCCGGCTCTTACTTCGTTATAGGCAAGCTCATACCCTTTAATAACGACCATGACATCTGACCAAATGAGACAGTTGGGGCCTGGGGCCAGAGTAGCACCCACTTCGAGATCGTTGCAGCTTAGGCTGACTGTTGCAACTCGGGATCTACGCAACAACTTTGTGGGATACACAGAATTCAAAGAGCATTATTATTAAATCAAAGTCTCTACATATCATCCTTAGTTGTATCGCAATCGTCTACGCCGAATGCAAGAAGCCGATCTTCTCCCAATACGAGACCCAAGCTCTGGCGTGAACAACATCGACGACACCAAGGTCGCGCAAAGTCGTACTATACCGCTGCATGCGCGCAGTGCTGAACACCGGAAGCCCACCGGCTTCTACAGGTTGCGACTTTTCCGCCTTGGCAGCGAGCGCGTCTCCCGCAGTAATGCTTCGAACATACTCGAGGATTTTGAGAGCAGGCTGGCGCGCCGTGAGTGGTCCAGTAGGTATGTGGGTACGAATTTTTACTCACGAAATCGTCCCACGTCTTGCCTGTCACTGGCTGCTTCTCCAGCTGCGCCGTCCACTCCGCGAAAGGGATGACTGAGAGGGAGTAGCCCTCCAAAAACGTTTTGATGTTCTGGATCACCTGGCGCCACTTGACCGAGCGAGGGTGAGTAAGGTGAAGCACGTATGGTAGGCGATCCTTGTACAAGACGAGGTCCAGGTAAGTGCTCGCAACTGCATCAGCTGGGACCCAAGACACAGTCTACGAAGTGATTTCAGCGGACACGAGTCGCGCCATGGTACCAATGTAGAACGTACCCCATGGAGATCGGGAAGCGCCCCAAGGCCAATGCTGGTCCTCACCATAATCGGGACCCATTCGGTAGTCGCCCATGCACCTGACGTGTTGGGTCCACAAACCTGTCCGAGACGTATTGAAGTGCATTCTAGGCCGTTGTCTGCAGCTCTGGCAAGTAACTGAGGGCACGCATACATGGTCAATATTGCCACGGAAAATTACCCTGGAAGCCACACACCTGCTCGGTCACAAACTTGGACGCAGCATATCCATTGCTCGTCGCCACCTCCGGACCTGGGATGGTATCCTCAGGAACAGGCCCAAGGTTGATATTCCACTTGTGCACTGCTGAGATAGACGAAGTGAAGATGAGCTTGACCGGATGGGAGAGTGAGCAGCAGAAGTCAATCAGACGGCGCGTGCCGGCGACGTGGGTTTCGTAGGACGAGAGAGAGAGGTTAAAGTCCACTCTCCAGGCGTTGTGAAGCACATAAGTCACTGAGTATCGGATCTGGAGCCGCACAAGACAATCAGCATACAACAAAACCGGCTCTAAACCGAATGCGCTGACCTCGTCATACATCGCTTCCTCCAAGCCGAAGAAGGGCTGAGACAGGTCACCGACAAGCGAGACCAGTTTCGGGCTGTCCAGTAGCGATGTATCCAGCTCTCTCTCGATGAACGATGACAGCTGTCGGTCGTAGGAGACGCTGACCTGTCGGTTGAATGTGTACACCCTGGCAACCCGCGGGTCTGCCAGCAAGCGGGCGAGTATGTGGGACCCAATAGCACCCGTGGAACCAGTGAGCATGACGACGGCGTCGTGAGCCGCCGACCCGTTCGCCTGTGCGGATAGGTGCGTAGGCTTTGGCAGGTGTGCGCTGTATTTCGCAATCATGTCCATGATGGACTTCTCTGTATCTCGCTTGTCGTCTGGGCCGCCCGTGTCGATAAGCATCGAGATGGCCTTCGCTAAATCATGGAGCGTGGGGTATTCGAAGACGAAATTCTGAGAGACGTGCTGAGCAGCTTCCCGGGTCAGCTGATCGCCACGCATGGCAGCGATGACGCGGTTTCGCAGAAATGTGGCGTGCAAACTATTCACTTTATTAACAATCATCACAGACAGTGGATAGAGCGGTACATACCTATCGAAACCCTGATCGAATATGTCTGCAGAAGGAGAGATTGCCCTGCCTCCAGCAACCGCAGAGGCCTGTTTGAGAAGCCAGGCTTCAACGTCAAGAACAGACCAATGTTCGGGCGCAGCAATGCCAGCAGAGTTTCCAGAGTCCTCAACAACTTGATACCTAGTTTGGATTACCGTTAAGAAGTACTCCTAGAAGATTGTAGTGAAAGTACTTGCAAGTCGTCGATCTCCTTCTTGTACAAGCCAACCGCTTGTTTGCGGATAACCGTTCCCTTCGCAGCGCGGGGAAGGGGCTTCGCAGGGTTCGTGACGATGATCATCTCTTTGAATAGCCTCGCGAATGTCGGCGCTGCGTGGTTGGCCTCCTCTATAATGGGCCTGGAAGGGACGTGGTAAGAATTCACCAATGTTACAGCATGGCACAACCTACCAAATCATGTTTCGGAACTTCGGCAGCGCAATTGGGTCGTTGAGGTCTATGGCATGAGACGGGGCAGGCTCGATGAGAATGCCGCACTGGTTCTTCGCGCGGCCGAACATGACGGCTCCGTTCACCATAGGAGAAGAGACTATCAAGCCTTCCTGTGGAATAGGGACCACTTTCTCCCCTAAAGAAACGTCCATCACTAGATGCGACTGTGGATCAGAGAGAACGCACCAGATCCGAGAACAATAACGTCATCCTTTCGTCCGGTGCTGCACAAGTATTAGCACTTATGTAAGTGGTCGCAAAGCTTTCGTGGCACATACATACGCCAAAGGCCCTCTTTCGTAGGGTGCAGCTCCCACAAGTCCCTCGTAGCATAGCCAGCCGTGTCTTCCAGGTTCTCGACGTTCGGTCGATGGGTTGGGCATGACTATTCAACGTTAAACTACCTTCTTCTGGCGGCGAGATACAGGTTCTTACCAGGAAGTGTAGCTCATATGTACCATCGCCCTGAGGATCCCACCGACATTTGACTCGTTCCGTAAACACCATCCAGTCCCAGTCAGCCCTCGTCTTCGCGTTTAGCTGTGAACTTTTTGATTCGTCGATGTCGAAAATCTTCGTATGTGGACCGAACTCTGTACCGCCGTACCACGGGTACAGAGGCACGCCCTCGGCTTGCAGCCTTCCTCCGGTCTTGGAGGACAGAGGACCACCCGCGAAAGCCTAATCCCCATTCAGTGAGGCGGAACCATATGTCGCGTGACTTTTCAGCTCACAACGATCTCGAGAGTCCTGAGGTACTTGATGTCGTCCTCCGACTTCGCCCAAGCCTGCAACGAAACTCCGTTGAGGTCAGAGTTCATACACAAAGATAGCGACTTACCTCGACAAAAGCAGGGACAGTCGGAAGACCAGTGCATTCAACAGTTATGCACGCCTCGAGCGTGTTCCGCGGCGTGGGCACAACAGGCGATGCCGGCCATTTTGGGGCGAAGAGGCCAACCGGGCAGCCACCAACCAGAGGACCGTAGAGCTGGATGTATACGGCCATCATGTGAAACGTAGGCAGTGCCATGGCGCCCCAGATGATCTTGTGGTCACCAGCGGTCTTAACGATGGCTGAGAGAGAGGTTTTAATTCTGGTTAGTGCGGTGTTCCGATTATATCGAACCATTTGCACAAGACGCACATGAATTGCAGCACTCCAGCAGGTTCTCATGTCTTTGAGGAATAGGCTTCGGGAAGCCTGTTGATCCCGACGAGTGAGCATAGAAAGCGACGTCTGTGGGGTTGTACGGCACTTGGGAAGTCGGATATGGCTCATAGTCGTCCGAGGCAGATTCGTCGTAAACGATAGGGAAGATCTCGTCGAGGCCAGGTAGTTCATCAACCTCCAGGACGTATCCTTCCTCTTCGAGTTCATTCTCAACGGTAGAGAGCAGCGGAGCAAGCGCCTGCTGAGAGATAATCCGGTGGCATGATGTCTGCTTTAGCATGTTGATAATAGCTGGAGCGGAGTTCCTCGGAGACAACGGAAAAGGCTATAATAACCGGGGATGCCAATAAGCACCAGGGCGCATTTTTTAATTGAAATCCAAAAAGAAATTTACGCACCACGAGACCTGCCCTGACTATTCCAGCGATGAGCGCGAGGTAGACAATGGTGTCACAGTTGACCAAGAGACCGACGACATCCCTGTCTTTGCCTACCCTCTCTGGTCGCAAGAGGTGGGCAACCCTGTGGGTCGCTGCTGCATACTGTGCAAATGAGACGCTCTGTACAGGCAACTCCGGCCCAGCGGATAACAGGGCCCACGGGAGGTCGGTGTTATGCTTAGCATGGAAGTCAACGAAGCCAGGCAGTACAGGGATGGATCCGTCGAGGGGAGGAAGTGCGGGGCTGGGAGACATCGTCAGAGAGGTGGTGACGGTAAGAAGACACTTGGACCCTACATACCAGCACGAAGATCATTATATCTTCTGTATTCCGTCGCGGTATCAGAAGTACGTGAAGAAGATTGTTTTATCACACGGACCCTTGCGGACCGATGGCAAGGTTCTGATGCGTCTGGCGCGAATACACCACCGCGCTTAATGTCCCGAGCGAGGTTTCAGGCAACCCGTCCGTGGAGAGCTGGACGACTGTGGTGTGCTCATCGTTTGATGCGGCAAAGATATGTTGCTAGATGCATGCGGCAGAATCCGAGAGCATTGTGGCGTCATAGTCTCACTACGATCCGGATTCAGAAAATGCAGCTGGTCAACTCTCGCAAGACCAAAGTCGCTGAAAAGTACGGTGAAGAACATCGTCTGCGAGCGTGGAAATCTAGGGTCGGCTGGCGCCCTGTTTGATGCACTGCCGGTCGATGTTGTACGTGAGCCAGTATCCTGGGCCTGAGCCCGAAATTGAGCGCATCAGGAGTTGAAAGTACTTCTAACACCGTCTACAGACGCGTTGAAAGTCTTTTTCACCTGTATTGTGTATGAGCTAGGTCGACAAGTGGAAGACCCCCTAAGCTGAGTCGGCCTCGGCGATGCCGAGTCGGGGTGTACTATGGGAATGAGAAGGCACCAATCGATAACCCATCTTTCCACGATGCCGTAATTGTTGCAGGGTGCTGTGCGAGACACGAGACCCATGTCCAAGTTCGGAGGCAGTATTGCTTGATGTCGGCAGAGCGGCAAGACCTGGTATCCTGTTTCCTTCAAGTTGCCACGAGTGATCTCGCAAGCAACGTAAACATCGTGAACGCTGACAACCGGTAGGATTGACCCTCATTTTTTGATGTCGAGAAGTCATTTCCGCGGAGGCTTGCACATAGACTTACAAATTTATCGCAGGGCCGACGGTATTTTAGCAAGACACGGTTATGGCTGCGAGCCCAGAAAAGCAATAGCCGATAGCACGTAGAATCGGCGGAGAACGTAAGAATGGATCCAGTGATAATTCAGTTCAATTTATGTCTCACCTGCTCTTTGTTCTGCATTTGTTCTTCATCTGGTCGAGAACCTTAGTTGTGGTTGACTCCGCAGCCTACTTATTCGGCCCGTGATTAAGCTATAGTGTGAGATTGCCGGGCTTCTTTTTGCAGAGCCCGCGAAATCTGAAGAAGAAAAATCGCACCAATTTTTACATGAGCTGCTCTGAACTGCTCTGAGGGCAGTTGAGCGTGTAAGTCAAGTGTCAGGAGAGCACTGTACAGGGCCGACAAGCTGTCGAGAGTGGTCGCTGGCCTGTGAAACGCAGCAAGTCTCGCATGTAATAATGAGCTGGTCAACACTCCCACAAAACTCAGGCGCCCGGATGTCTGGACGGGAAGGACCTCGGCCCCACACTCCTCCATCTTCCCCAGTTTCGCTCGATATCGGTCCGGGTTCGTTCAAGACAAATGGGACATTGTGACTCTGGGTCAAACCATACAGATCCTTCATTTTGAAGGGAATCGCAAACCTTCGCGTTAAGCCCAGTGCACGATTGACATTCGAACATTGGCTACTCCGAGTCGGACATCTTCTGTCCTGTACTTTTCTCCGCTATACGGACAAGTTCAGGTAAGGCCAATGAAACCACTGACCGCACTATCAAGTCCCGTTATCAGTTGCAATGTCATTCAAGTCGCGAGCGTTGTCTGGATGGGGAGCCTGTGTTGGCCATTCAACTGGCCACAACTCTCAGGCTTGCGTGGACGACCATGTGAGTGCACAACACCTGGCTGCGTTGAGACTCGTTGAGACTTCTTTACTTACTTAGATCGCCGTCAGACCTGCTTTTAACGGACAGATCGAGCTTCTCGCCACGACACGTCTGCTTTAAACTTCAAGGGCATTATCGCGAAGAATAATTCTGGCATTGACTCCAAGGCAGCTGCCGGCATGCATGTAGTGTGTCTTCTTCACCATCATGGCCCTAAACCTTGCCATTCTCACAAACGCATGACGACTGTACGAGACTAGGACGATATAGAATGGCAGACTGACATGTTCGGCTCACTTGAGCTGTGATACACTCTGCGATTGATACGGAGCGATAGGTACACGTTTCTCAAGTCTGCTTGCGTAGTGGGGACGTTACTGCAGAGAAGGGGATCTCGGCCACATGTTATGCGAAGCTGAAGCTCGACATCGAGACGAGCAATATGGCAGGTATGGTGTCAACCAACAACAGGCTGCCTATTCATGCATATGCTATGATCATAATACTCCAACGTTGTTTACCTTCATATGTTTCCCACGTTCTGCACGGCTTTTCGAACACTCACGCCCGCATTTCTGTCAGCGGCTTGCGCAGTTGCATGCGCAGATTGATATCTTCCATGACCTTAGCGGGAATTGACTAGCAGTGCTGACACGTGAGTCTCTCCCCCCTCCGGCCTTACAGTCCTATGTAATGGCCCATTTAATCCAAGCATGCTATCTATAACGAACATGAATGTGAAACGAAGAAAGTGAAGTTATCGTTAATCCTGGTGGAAGCCTCCCATCGCTTTCACAGCTTCAACCATCCTCTTGTACTCTCTGAGCAGCTCTCCGACTTCGGAAACCTTGATGTCGTCCTCCGTCGCCTCGAGGAACCGGGGGTTGGGTGGCGAGATGCGTATCGCAACGGGCGAGGCTGCACGAGAAGACACTGGCGTGTCAAAGCGGTTCGTCGGCGTCGGAACCTGGCCAGGGACGAGTAGCGACGATCTCCGTGATGCCGGCGGTGAGGCCTGTCGAACACCCACATGAGCACCACATGCTAACGATCAAAAGGCAGTGAGAGACCGACCTTGGCCGCATCGTGTGCCGCGTTACCCGACAGCCTCGACAGGCCAGGGACGCTCGCTAAGCGGTCCGCAAGACTTTTCCTTGCGCTTGCACTCGCAGCCTTCTTGCGACGGCGCTGCCGACTCCGATTGCTCATCATACTCTCAAAGCTCCGAATGCTGCGGGTATCGTGTTCTTCCTCCTCCTCGTATTCCTCCTCGTCCTCATCCTGGCCGCTGTCTTCCTCCGACTCGCTCGGCGCGCGCATAGAGCGGATGGACGCCGGGCGTGAGGGAACTTCCACAAGCTGCTGTCCGGACTCTTCGTCGCGCTGGACCGGCGTTTTCGAGCGTATGGCAGCGCCGGGGAGCGACGCTGCCAGACTGGCGATCGAGAAGCCGGTGTCTCGTCGGAGCAGGGTGAACCTTGGTTGCGCGTCTTGCGATTCCGCCTCAGGGGCAGTACCCTCAGGCTGAGTGGCAGGCAAAAATGCTCGCAATACACCGAATGACGAATCGACGACGCCAGAGATGACCTTGTTCGCGGATCCTGCGATGGCATCCACTTGTTGCTCGACACGGCCACGCAAGGTCGCTACCCCCAGTGGTGAGGTCGGCTGAGAACCTAAACGATTGGCAGTAATGGGAGCCAGTTCCGCAGTGCTGTATCATCCATGAGCCGAAACAATAATTTGTATATAACCATAATCGCGTACCTGATCACTGTCTTCTCGCTCTCGCCCAAGCCCAAGGCAGCGAGGTCAACATTCTCTAAGAACTCTGCAACAGCCATGAGATTAATCAAGCAGTAGCTTTCCTCGCCTCCAATAGCTTGATTCCTGAAACGCTGAGTAAAGAGAAGGTGTGAGACAAGGTGTGGAGGGTTTGCCTTCACCGCTGCGAATATTATGAGTGGAAGGATGACGTCTCCAGAGACGGGCGTAGGGGTTGTTGGCGGCGGCGGTGATATGGTGAGGCGCGGCGACGGCGGATGCACACGAAGCGACGCAGTATCGTTCCTACCATCTTTGGAGCTCTTTGTGTCCGGGGCATTCCTGAAGGGCACATTCTCTGGCATCTCAGACTTCGGGGACAAAGTGACCGTCGGCGACTCGTGCAGGATCGTGTTGCTAGGTGCGTCCAAGGTACTCTTCGGCTCGTCGTCGTCTTGTTCTTCCACTGTTCTCCTCCCAAAAGTGGTAGCCATTGGTGTCTTGTCATCCAGCATCTCGCCTTCCGGTTTTAACTTGACCGGCGGCAACCTCGAGAGCCCATCTGTGCGAGAATGGTAAATCTCTCTGTGTGCACGTGTAATGTACAGTATACGCACCAACCAGAATCTTGTGAGCGGTCACTAATATGGCTGCTTTGTCTACAGGTGCTCGACAGGTTAGTTCCAATTGGGTAAGTGCTGAGGTACTGTCAGTAATTGTTACATTTGAATTGTGGGCATTCATCTCACTTTGACCACAAGACTTCACCACCGCTTCAACGGCATCGGCAGGGTCGCCTACGTCAACGCCAAGATGACCCAAGGTAAGATCAAGAAGGTTGACGGCAGCGATGCGACTTGAAAGTGCCTCATCATGCGTAGCATCGTCTGTGGAGCTCTGCATGAACAACCTGTATGAAACTATACTCAGAACTTCCTTATAGAGCTTATATATACGGGTTGAGACGTACCGGTCGTAGAAGATGGAGCATATCGTCCGCTCGGCCGCCTCCACCACAGCACGGATATTCTTTTCCATCTCATCCTCCTCGGCATCGCTCTCCTTCTCCGTCTCCTCATCCCTAGCATCCTCCTTTTCATCCCCACTTACACTCTCCGCAGAAGACGACACCGAAGAAATCGAGCCATTGAGATGGTTCAGCACGCCTTTCCCAAACGACCTCCGGCCACGCCACCTGCGTTTGATAAGTTGCTCTTCGATCTCTGCGTAGAAATCCTGGAATCGCCTCCCGACATCGTCTAGAGGCTCATCCTTCGAGAGGCCGGGATGGATGAGATACCCACCGAGCGCGTTGTCATCGAGCTTATTCTTGTTCGTTTTCGCTTTAACAAACGGCAGCAGGCCTTCACGCTCAGCGAAGTCCTCGATCCGTTCTGCGACCCACGAGGGGGCCCCGCTGGGTGCGAGGCCGGCGCGAATTTCGTGATGAACGACTCGTAAGATCTCTTTCGCAACACTTCGCCGTACTATCCGCTTGTTAAGCGTAAATGAAGGAACCCCGATGACATGTTCCGTGCCCTCCGGAGATTGCGCATCGGCAGGACTGGTGACCTGTGGTGTCTGTAACGGCATCGGGTTCACCGTGGGACTCGCAGGCGGCGTGGGTGCCGACGAGGGCGCTCGACCGAACAAGGACGCGAACGGGTTGGATAGCCGAGACGCGGCCGCAGCGCTTGTGGACGTGCCGGGGCGCGGCCGCGGAGGCAGCGGAGGTTTATTCTGAGCTGCAGAATTTATGGCATGAGGACGCGGCGGGAGCGGAAGCGAAGGGTGATGTGACGTGAGAGAAAACACCGGATATGTAGGCGTCGATGTCGGAGGCTTTGGTGAGGGAGGAATCTGCAGTGGCGGAGATAGCGGGGTCGGAGGGAGCGAGGGCTGCTTGAGATAGACAGGAAGAGGCAGTGGGGGGAGTGAGCCCAAGGCTGTATTCCGTGTAGACGGGTCCAAGATTGTCTGGAAGAGTTTCGACGAGATATCCACACTGGAGCGGATAGTCAAGACTTCACTGCAGGATAGTCAGAAACGACCCAAATATCCGGAAAGAAGACGAAGGTTAGTGATAGACAACACGTACTCTGCCATGGTCCCGCGCATGCCAGACAGAGTCACGACTGGCGCCTCGAGACTGGAGCCGTCCCAAAAGACGATGTGGTCCTTGATGAGCTCCGGCGTAATCGGCTCATTTGCGGAATGTGCTTCAAGAGGTAGCAGCAATGTCGCCTATACACAGTTCCGACATTTTAGAGGGTTATAAAATTGCACATGGACTCACCTTCGCCGCGGAGATAGCATGCCAGACCTCGTTCCACTCTGGACCGTGGTCCGTCTCTGTCCCAAGCTTCTCTAAAATGGCCCAGCCCGTACTCGCAGCATCCAAGCCTCCTTTCTGCGCCGCAGCCTTGAGGTTCATGAGTTGAAGCTTGCTGGTCGCATCGCTCTGGAACGTCGGCTGCTGAGGAGACGCTTGGATGCTTGGCTGCATTGTTGCGCCAGTTGTCGCAGACGTAGGCTGTGCGCGTTGCCTTGGCGTATACGGCACATACTTGGTGGGCATCTGTGTTGCAGCAGTGTCTACTGATCCGTTTGAGTGAGACGAGATTGAAGAGGATGACGAGCCAGGTGCCGTTGGTGACAGCAGCGGGTGTGCTGTCAACGATTCGTGCGACGCTATGCGGACCAGTCCACCTTGCGGGCGCCCTATAGAGCCTGTTGAGAGGAGGCTGTCGCGCTTGCTAGAATGCATGTCTTCTATCCGTCTCCGCAGTATTCGGTGATGACTAGCGCTTTCCAGTAGATTATTGTCGATATGCAGATAAGCTGGATGAGTTCTGTCAAACAGACATAGGGTAGTCGCTGTGGCAGAAGCACTGGAATTAGAGTGTCGGCCGGAAGTAACACTTGAGCATTCTCTCTTTGTCTTACCGCGTTACGAGCGCACTATTGTACACTTAGGTCACAGTCCAGCAGCTCAGCCTAGTGAGCACAATTATGAGCGTGATGCACCCAGGTATATGCAAAGAGATTAGTGGAATTGATGCGAATGCATACGGAAGATGTGAAGACTTGGTGGCAAGCAGAATGTCATCCTGAGTCCCGACACCCAAGCCGACACCCGACCGGCGCCAAAGTGCCTCCGCTTTTCCCACAGTCCCGTGGCGCTTGCCAGTTGCGTGCCTCGCGAAGTCGCGACTCTATCGTGAGCTTTCACTTTCGTTTCTGTTGCGCTACGAAAGACGCGCTTGCGAGATATACCCCTGTGCCTGCTATGGGAAGTAATCAGCTCGCTCCGAAACCTAAATACCTGGGCAGAAATGGCTTTCATGAGCCAGTTCTAAAAGAACTAGACGAGCCGCAGGCGGTTCCGGTCTCGCCAGGACCGAGCGGAGCGGCCAGCGCACCCAAGGCCCAGAGGGAGAAGCGAATGCGGGCCTTGGTCGAGAAACACAGACAAGTTGAAGACATGTTGGAGATCAAGGGCTCGTACTTCCCTGGGTAAGTTGCCATAGAGTTGGGTATATGCGCTTTTGTTTGTCCACAAGCCGCTTTGGCGACTCAAATGACGCTTTGTCTTGTAGACTGGAAGCAATGCAAGCAGGCGCCAAGCCTACAGCTGCGTCAGATCTCACGTCCCTTATCCAAGAAACGCAGAAACGGCATGAGAAAGAGATCGAGAAGCTCATGGACCTGCAGACTAAGGATCACATTTCGCGCGTCCTTGATGCATACCAGAGCGCGGACGGGATCGTGAACCTACCTGAGCTCAATGTGCGTCTCGCCACTCTGCACACGTGCGCTGATTGTGATTCAAGCGCGGACTTTTAGAGGTCCATGGAACGACAAACGTTGCTCTACATGCCTGCCTTCACGGACGCATCGTCGGAGTACAACAACTACCGGTATGCACACCTGTGCACTGTCAACGCGCTGATTAAGCGGCGGGACGAATTGCTTGCCAAAGAAGAACGCGAGCGCAAAATCCGCGACGCCCAGTTTCCGGGGAGCATCGCACAATGGAGGTCGGAGAACCCGGACATCCAGCTCCGCGTCGCCAAATTCCTCGTGTCTGACAAATCTGCCAAGGAGCGGATGCTCTCACAGTTCGGGTGGGCTTGGCGGCAAGTCGAGCCGCTCGAGAAAGACTACGCCACTAATGTGAGTAATCTGCTCGCGACATTTGAGGCGGCCGTCGCGCGACGGCGGGTGCCGTTGCCGCGCCGCGGGCGTGGTGCGATATGTTGACCTTCATTCTAGAATACGTTTCAAGCGGACATCAAGGCGCGCGCGTCCGTGAAGAGGATGTGAAGGATCCACGCCGCAAGTGAGTTGCCGCATTCGACGGCGACAACGCGCCGGTGGCAACCAACTGGCAGTTATATTGGCTCACAGGTGCTAGTCACTCATGCACTCATATCTTGCTATCATGTGTACAGTGACCATTCACATGCATGCCAATGATCTTGTCATGCGTCCATCTTTGGTGAAATGCTGCGGGATTCAGCGCTCTCTGATTAATTGTGCATTCATGCAGGTCGTGTCCTCGAGCAACATTCGTGGCCGTCCTTATTGCTCCCTGCTGCACACAAATCGCGATGACTTGTGTGTAGCCACGTCCCACGATAAGTCTCTCGGCAATTAAGGTGTACCGCCACAGGCTCGCGGCCGCTTGGCTTCATCATACGAGTGATCGTCGCCGGCGGCCCATCTTACTGCAAAGTGTTTCGATGATGTCGCGCCGGCGGCCCCACGAACATGGCGGGCTGGGCCGTGGCATTTGCCCGCTGATTCCCTTGCTCAGCTGTACTCTTCAGTCGTGCTCAGGGTAGTCGGCCGAGGTCCCTTACGCAGCATCCGGACGTCTCCTTGAGTTAGTCAGCTCAGGCCGTCTACTCGAGACGCAGTGGCCGAAACCTTTGGTCAATGTGGATGACGACTGAGACGTGCTAATCATGCTGTGATTAAGCGCATTCGCTGTCCTCAGACGAGCTAAGGCTGGAGCGCTGACTAATAGGATTCATCTCACGCGAATGCCGAATCATGGGATTGAATGTCCAGATAGTTGTCCTCGAGGCACAGCACTAGACGCCCGTTCCCGAGAGCTCGCGTTGCGCCCGCTAGTAGTGACCCGCCGCTAGGAACTCAACGCTGAAAGGACGATAAGTAACCACCCCGCAGATATTACACTGGCGATAGGCCATCTCGGGTCAGTGTGTTGGAAAAATGAGAGGATGTAGAGAACAGCTGGAAGTGCGCTAGCTCACAGCGGGCACGTCGGCTCTCAGATCTCAGGGTCCTGCCACCAGAAAAAGTCCTTGCACGACGCGGCGACTTCGGCAGGACGGGATTCCTCCGTCACGGTCGGCACTACTGTGTTTGTAAATTCGGCAGCCAAGGAGTCCTCTTCTACGGAGAACACAGCGACTGAGACATGCTGCCCCACGCCGGGACTCCCGACCAATGGCAGCACGCCATGCCAGTCGTGCTCCGGGACGTGACCAAATACGTATACGGAAGTGCGGGGGGGCCTCCTGAGTGATATGTCAACAAGTCGACTGCGGGCCCCAGCAAGGCCCCAGCAATCGACGATTGGGCGGCTTGCCGCCGCTCGTCACAGTAATGCCTCGGAGACGGTTGCCTCGGCGCTGTGCCAGGGCCGTATCGGAGAACCGCAGGCCAGGGACTGACACTCTGATGCCGGCGGCGAACAATATGGGCCATCACGCCCGCCCTCGCTCCCATCTCACCCAGAGCAGCAGGGCGATGATGTAGGGGGATGAGACCGCGGCGCGTACACGTCAGACGGCTGCAGCTTGCTCGAGGTGAAGACGTGGCCTCGTTGCCGCAGGCGCAGCGGGCCCGTACAGTATAGTCGGCGGTCGACTCATCGTGACTGTGCCCGCACGAGAAGCAGGCAGATGCCGGGGACGCCCGTTTTGGGCAGCGAGGAATTCCGTCCTTGTTCGGAGGGCGCTCGGGAGCTTTTTCGAATGGAATGTGCTAATCTCGATGCATAAATGGGAGCCGCCGCCGGCTTGGTCGGTGCTTGTGTCTTTCCATGGCCAAGGCATCCGCATGCGACGACCGCGGAGTTGACGGCAACCAATTGAATACCCTCTCAAAACATACATATGTACATGACCTGTGCTGTCCTCGTCGTCCTCCCAACTGCTCCTGCTCGTCCATCAAGCAGGCATAGCCCTCTCCCTCCGCCACACCATCACTTGCCATGGTTTACACCGCATCGCATTCACCCATCTACTATGTTGGCCAACCTACTGTTATGAGGGATCCGCACAGCGCAGCGTGGATAAAGTCGAGTTCTGTCGTCGTGAGTCGCCATCTTCCCTACCTTGTGCTCCATTCGCTCACAAGACCCTCGCAGACCATGCAAAGCTACAAGCGCGCTTCCCCACCCCCGCGGCAGTCCATGTCGCCGTCCCCACCACCCTCCTCCTCCTCGGACGTGCCTACCGCCGTTTCGACCCTTCTTGGTCTCACAAAGCAACTCCAAGACGTGCTACGACTCTGGAGTGTAGACCAGGCGAGCGAGGAGCAGGTCAGCGACGCGTTCGTGTTGGTTGGCATGCAGTTCAACGCAACCGTCAACGCATTCTCGCGGCATCGTATTGACATGGGGTGAGCAATACTTCTGACAATTCTTCTAGAGCGAAGCTGATTCGGGCATACAGTGATCTTCTCTCGATACCAAACGATCTCCGCGTGGTGCTCGAGAAGTGCCTCGGCGAAGAACCATCGCCGCGCACTCTCGAACGATACATGCCCAGGGTCCGCACGGTGCTCTTCCGCCTACTCCAAGGCCTGCAGCGCAAGCAAGCGCCGTACTGGAAGGCAGTCGAAGGTTCTCGCTGGGTCGTGCCCGCGGTCGACGAGTACACCCGCTACCGCTGAGCCGGAAACTTCCCTGAATACTTCATCAGGATGGAAGATGATAATGATGGCACCGACGCATCTTGTTTGGGCCTTGCAGCATCTCTTGCAGATGCCTGAGCCACGAGGCCACAGCCCCCAGCCCCTGGCCGTGATGACGCACGCGATGCCTCTCACGCTGGAGTGCCTCGTTTGCTCGTGGGACACATTCGATTTCCCCCCACGCGGTGGACCGTGTCTCCCAGCACACCCAACGACAAACCGTCACCCTCGCTATCGCTCGCTTTGCATTGATTTGATATCGTCACCATACCCTAAATGCTAGCCATTAAGTACGTCGATCCCCCGCAATTGCATACCCTAAATGTCAGTTATTACCTACTCCCTGTTTTACTATACTTTGTCTTGCAAGTAAATAGCTAGCCAGTTGTATTTCTACTTGACGATCCCATCTGCATGTATCACCAGCACTTCTGTTTCAAATGCAATGTCTGTTAAAAATCAAACCTCTGGGCCGCTGCTGGGCGTTGAAGACAAGCTAGTGGCGCGCCTTCCCTGTCTATTATTATGCTGCTTCTTAGTGGCGTGACATGACACAACTCAGAATATTGATGTGAGCAGATTCCACGATACATGACGGTCAATAAGACCATGTACGCCTTGGAAAATGCACGCACAATAAAGTACCGGACTTCGACCCACGCTCGGTGGCAGTTGCACTAGCAGCGGCGTTACAGACACCGGCAGCAAGTTAATTAAATGCTCGGGACGATACCTCTGCCGAGCGACCATCTGACCTCTGCCTTGTCGTACCTGCATCGTGAACTTCAAGCTAAACCCAATTCCGCCCAGTTGCGTCCGGTCGTTGCCAGTTCGACGTAGCTTAAGATCGGCGCCGGCCTCGTCGTGTGACAGGCGCCCAGCGCGCGGCGATCTCCCACATCTGGCTTCCAACACGCGACTACCGCCTCCGCGTCCCGCAATCGACAGCTACGCCGGTTTTTGTCGGTCATTGTCTTTAGTCTTGCGTGCTATCTTTCCTCGTGTACAGTATGGCACCATCGCCGTGATTCTATATTCGATCTCGGGCTGCCCGACAAACTGTGGTGGAGCAATGAGCATCCACAACTCCTAGTATGAAGCGCGGCCAAGTTTTATGGAGTCAGTGGGCTGATAATGAGGCACAGAGCTCAGGGAGATATGGACGGGCACTGTGTCGAAGCGCAGGACTTCCTTCGGCTCGTCTTTGGGACTGAGTTGGTGGACGGTGAACGGTGTGAGCAGGCGCTCACCGGAGAGTTGGACGCGCTCAAGTCGACGTTGTCCAAGGTTCCAGCACGCAAGGCAACGATCTGTCGTGTTGTTGTGAGTGCGCAATCTGCCTCGCTGCATCTTTGTTGACATCTAGCGGGTTGCTTCCAGGTTGACGCTGTCAACAGCATGTTTCAGAAACTGAATCTGCCTTTCTTCATGGCGATTACTGGGGATAACCCAGAGAGCGCTACGAACAACCTGACCCCTGACCTGATGTTGTATCGCACGTCCCAGCCAGGCAAGGCTGATCCCAGCGCGTTCTATTATCCAGGCAGGAACAACTCTGCGGGACGTTGTCGCGCGGCCTGGGCCGCTGCGGTTGCCACACTCTAAGTCAACGTCGATCCCGCGTGGGCCCCTTTCAACTTTGACGACAAGCCCTTCGCTGTGAAATTCGAGCACGACTTTCCACCTCAGTTGATGGACGACCGGAACACCCTCGCTGCAGGCGGCCAGCTATGTTGGGGAGATGTGCATCCGCCAGCACCGCTGTTTCCTCCTCACCGCCTTCATACAGGAACGATGCATCCGCTTCATCAGGTGGGATCGTGCGGGAGCGATCGTGTCTCAGCCGTATGACTGGATGAAGGTCCTGGAGGTCCCCCTCAAATTCTTCTGGTGTCTAGCCAAGTGCGGCGACGAGCAGCTGGGATGCGATCCTACCGCCCCGCTGGTGGACCCTCGCGAAAGGAGTTTCATATCGCGGAAGGCGAGGGAGCTCGTCCAGAAATACAGCTCCAGCGAGTAGCTTGTCGAATACATCAAGGAGGCAACCAAGAATACGACGGTGTTTCCGTGGGTCAGGGCAAATGCCTGTGTCCCCTCTGTCGAAGTGGTCTAGCATTCTGATCTTCCGTAAGATCGCATGTCAGGACGCCGAGGACCCCGCCCAGACGCGCATGTACTATGTTGCGAGACATTGCGCAGCTTCCCGATCCGCTCGCGGTCGCGGTACGAAGGGGCTACATCGGGTTTGACTTTGAGTCAGCCGAGGCGCAGCTAGTCTTCATCAAAGACCTGTGGTATCCTGAAGGCATGCGACCCGAGCTGGCGAATTACGCTCTGCTTCGTCAACATGAGGTGCCAAACGTCCCCATTGTTTTTGCCGGGGGCTCCGTCGGAGGCGACGGAGCACAGGCGACTCTCAATCAAGACTCGTTCTCTGACGGCTCGAGTCGGCCATGGAAGCGCATTCACCACCGCATTGTTATGAAGCAGATCGGTCGTCGTTTGAAGTACTTTAAGGATCAGAAGGAGCTTCTGCGGTGCACGTATCATGCCTTCAGAGGTACTAGCTCGTAACGCATCCCGAGACTGAAGCCCAAGCTCACTTCTTGGTTTGATAGCGCACAGGGCTGCCTACGAGAAGGCAGGGCTATTGCACCGCGACGTCAGCGCAGGCAACATCATGATCGACGTCGAGACTGGCACAGGCTTCCTCGGCGACTGGGACCACGCTGAACTCGTACAAGCAACGGACGAGTGGCAGCAAGTCGTATGTTTCTTGCTGTCTTACTTATAATAGCCTAGTCCACATGCACGCTTTGACAATAGGGAACGTAGCTCTACATGTCGGCTGCGCTGCGAACATTCCCTCTGAAGCCTCATCATTCGTTTGACGACCTCGAATCATTCCTTCACATATTGGAGATCCTCGCCATGCGCTTCTGCCTGCACTGCTGATCCAGCCCAGTACTACTCAGGGAGGAAACAGACGAACGACGACGGGTGAGTGGGGGGAATACGCCACTCGCCGCTATCCTCTGAGATGGGTATCTCGCGCTGCCTTCAAACTCTGGTTTCCGTGTCTCTTACGGTACAAGGCTTGGGCGGATAGAGCGAGGCCAGCCCTACGTTCTGTTCGGTCGAGATTTTCGGGCGCCACTGGAAGCTCTTCCGGCTGTGGTCACGAAGTCGTACGAAGTGTTTTCGCGGCACTACTGTACCCTCGACCACGATGCATGGCGGGACCTCTGGGGCGAAGTGCGTGACAATGACGAACCAACGCCTCAGAGGATTCTGGACTCTATGGAGAGCTGTACCCTCCTTGACATGACCCATGAAGATCTGGAGCACGCGTGGACGGACGTTCTTCACGATGAAGCGCTGCTCAACTCCTCAAAGCCAAAGACGATAGACCAGTTCAAAGGGCATGTACACAGCTATGGACGGCTTCTCCTTCTCCTTGGTGGACACCTCTACCGAAAGGAGCAAAAGTACTAGTCGCGGATCCCATGTCAGACCTGGGGCCTGAGGATACGAACCAGACTAAGACCGGGTCAGGTTGACTACGTCACGTAGTACAGTACACGAGTTGTCGGTGATATATTCCATATGCACCCGTCGATTTGGATGTGAACTTGAATATGTAATGTCGGCAGTGCTGAGAACAAGCTGGAAAGATTGATACAAAGACTAGTCGAGATACAGCAGCATGGTCCCGTATGTGAGCAGTGGATTTCACAAATGCAGATGGTGAACGAGACCTTGAACGTTGGGGGAAAGCTTCTGGACCTCGAGTGCCCACGCCGGTGGCAATAAGCTGCCACTATCTCGTCCGACTCATATATGGTTCTGTCGCCCTGCCCATCCGTCAGTCGTTAGTCCAGCACACTCTAACATGTCGAGCCCGAGTTGACACCGCTTGCGCTGCGCAACGCTGATCTTCCGCAATTAGCTCTCGTTCCTCTGCCACCACCACGTCTTTCAATATCTGAAACACCGGTCTTCGTCGCTCTCTGCATTGCTCCTCAATTCCGCCTATAATTCACTCGTGTACAACAGCATATCTTATTATTCTATCGTTATATTCGTTTCGTAGACCCGTGGTGGAGCAATAAGCATCCGTCCGTTCCTGTGAAGTCATCGACCGCGGCCACGCTTTCTGAGGTCAGTGGCTTGTCCACACTGCATATATCTCCCCGTGCGAGGATGTCTCCTGACTGCGTCTCTTCACGACTCTTTGCGACATTACCCACCATATAGCCATTTAATTCCAGCACGTTTCACGATAGTCCGAAGACACGATGGCGCCAAAAGTCGACCTGGTCATCGTGTTCCGCTCTTCTTCGCGGAAGATTGAGCCCAAGGTGCTTGCTAGGCAGAATACCAAGCGAGCGTCGGAGCAATACGAGAAGCTGCTGCAGACGTTGGCGAGGAGCGGGTTGCTGGCCGTTGGCAAGCGGGGTGAGCGGGACGGTCAGCTGCTTGTAATGGTCTCGTGCCCGCCAGCCTTGCTCAAGAGACTCGCTCAGAGAGAAAGGTGCGTGGTCTGAGCGTGCGCTCCACGCTAAGGACTCAAATTGTTCGATGCAGGCACTCTGACTTCTTGAACGGCTTGCCGTCCAGGCACTCCATCGGAGGCGAAGACGTTGACGCAAACCCCTTGTCGCCCGCGGACCAAATCCGCCTCGTGCATACCTACATCACGACGATGCAGGCAGATGGTGGCCTCGGCATTGCCCCTGTGTCTGCCCAGTGGGACAGGGTAGAGTCCATCATGGCTCTGCACGACCACCTCTTCAACGACACCTGGATCCGTTCCTGGACTACCCGACAGTTAGGTCTAGTCTCCTCATCGAAGATTAGGGAGCAAGTACGCCCCAAACCACTGCATATATGCGTTTCATACTGAAAACATCTACATAGTTCGGCGAAGCCGTCGCGCTCTATTTCGCGTTCCTCGCATACTACACCAAGTTCCTCATTTTCATCTCAGTCGCGAGCGTGCTCTTCTACTTCTTTGCTGCTCCTTACTCGACGCTTTACTCTTCCGTGTTGCTCGTATGGTCCGTGGCGTTTGTCGAATGGTGGCGCATCAAGCAACGAATTCTGGCGATACGCTGGGGCACAAAGGGCTCATTCCGCGTCGAAAAGCGCAGGGCACACTACGTGCCCATCGCATGGTGGCGTAGGGAGCTTCGGATTCTTTTCAGTCTTCCCGTCATTCTATTCTTTGCTGCTATCCTTGCTTGCCTGCTCACGGGCATCTTTGTCTTCGAGGCGTTCGTTACGCAGCTGTACAAGGGCCCAGGTGCTCAAATCATGGTGCGTATATTCGTGTCTGCGTCTATACTAGTTTAGCGACTCATGTTCTGCAGTCCTTTGCACCAACAGTTTTGTTCCTGCTTCTGGTCCCAAGAGTACTTGCGATCTATCACACCTATGCCGTGCGCCTCACCGACTGGGAGAATCATGGCCGTCAGTCAACACACGACGCATCACTGACTATCAAGACGTTCAGCCTTTCTGCAATCGTTGCCTACGGTGGCCTCGCCCTCTCGGCGTTCGTGTACGTGCCATTTGGCGAAGAGGTGATGACATGGGTCCAGGTGTACCTTTTCCATACCGAAACCCCAATGCACGCGAAGGCAAAGACATGGGCGACGACCATGCTCTCCTCTCTTTCGGCAGCGAGTCCCACAGCAAGTGCCATGGCAGACGCAGGCAAGCGTGCATATAATGCCACTGCCGGTCCGCACCTGTGGGAGATGGACGGCAGCAGCGCGCGGAGCAAGCTCAATCCAAAGCGGCTGCAAGAGCAAATGTATGCAATCACGGTCATCAACCAAGTTGTCAACAATTTCCTCGAGGTCGGCCTTCCATACGTCACACGTGCCGTTGACTCGTTCCGCGCCGGCAAGGGCCTCACCCTCGCAAACAACTCCGCAGGTGCGAAGAAGAAGCGCGTGCAGTTCGAAGACGAAGCGAACGGCAGCACCGAGATTGCGAAGAGTATCACGGATGCTGAAGACCGCGAGTTCCTGGAACGCGTCAGGCGGGAGGCGGCGCTACCTGAATATAGCCTCTTTACTGACTACAGCGAGATGGTCACCCAGTTCGGATATGTGTCATTGTGGTCAACTATCTGGCCGCTTGCCCCAGGTAAGCCAATCTGACACATCCGAGACGGGCCTTGCTCAGATCCTTCCGCGCAGTGATGTCGCTGATCAACAACTGGCTCGAGCTGCGCTCCGACGCGTTCAAGATCGCAGTGCACACTCGGCGGCCGATCCCCGCACGCACAGATACGATCGGCCCGTGGCTCGACACACTCACATTTCTGACGTGGCTTGCTGCGCTGACGAACTCGGCGCTCGTGTATCTCTTCCGGCCCACGGACCACTGCAAGGCTGTCGGCACGACGCTACAGCACCACCACCATCACTTCAGCGACGCGAACTCATCGACGCGTCAGCTGCTCACGAGCGCAGCCGTCATCGCGCTTGCGGCGTCGCATGGCTACCTCGTCCTCTCCATGTTCGTGCGCCACATCCTTGAGCGCCTCATGTGGAAGGGCAGCAAGGAAGAGCAGGCCGCGGAGCGCCTCGAGGCACAGATCAAGCAGCAGTATCTGCGCAGCATTGGCGTCGCGGATGTTGCGACAGGAGACCTCGCGGACAGCAAGGTTCTCCGACAGAACGAGGTACCGCAGGAGGAGCAGGCGTTCTGGGCTGAGGATGAAGGCCTGGAGGAACTCAGCAAGGGGGTGAAAGATGCTTGAGGGCAGTTGGGAGTAGAAGTTGTATGCATATCTGGACTCTGTAGCACTACACACGATCCTGGATTGTCTGCTTGTTCCTTCTAGCTGAATCTCACCAGTACGAATACGATCCCAAGTAATCAATTTTGACACGGATCAGTAAAGGCTACTAACGAGACGAGTGATTGTTGTAGTGCAAATTATTGAATGAAAGAGGACATGATACGAAGCGGTGTAATCAAGCAAGCTGCGAGAGACCGTGGAGGATGATTCTCGACTGTAAGACATTAAGATGCAGATCAAACCGCAAAAGGTTCAGCTGTTCTTCTCTTGGGAGAGCAGCGAAGCCTCTGAGGGACGCTCTGTCCTGAATCCCGGCCTGCAGGAACATAGGCAGCAGATTGTCCAGCGGCTGGACTAACGAACACAGGAAGTCTCGGACAACAGCTTCCCCTTCCTCACCGCCGCGATCCACGATAGTCGTGCCCCTGTTTACAGTCGCCGTGTCATTGTTCATAGCACTTGCGCTATTGTCCACGGCGGTTGTGTCGCTGGCGCCGGAGGCGGGTGGATCGGCAACGGAGGGGACAGCCTCTGAACCTGTCATCTCGGGAGGGCAGTGAGCGTGTCGTGTCCCCTGGCCGGAGTTTGAGGCAGAAGTCCAGGCCAGAATGTTATCTATGCCTCTGACGCTCGATAGAGGCCTTTTTCGGGCCTCCACCGAGACTGGTGTGGGAGAACCAGAAGGGTTCTGTGGAGACCCTGCTGCACTCGTGCCAGGTGCCGTATTCACGGACACAGCGACATCTCGGTCTTGAACCGAAGAGGTAGAGGGGAGAGGGCACGAGGGCTGAGACATGGACGGTGCGTGCTTCGCACTCGAGGAAGGGACAGAGGGTAAGGCAACGAAAGATGAGTCACTGTTAGCATTCTGCTGTCCAAATATCTGCACAGGTCGAGATTGTGAATATAGTAGACCAGTTGGGGATCCCAGGGACAATTTTTGTGGTTCGCTCCCGATCAAGGGAGCAATATTTCGCGACGATCTAGACCGGTATTGCGAATGCAGGGACTCCTCGGGCTCTGGACTCGACGAGCTCTCCAGCTCATCCTAGACACAGCTTTAAGCAGTTTCTCGCGCCACTCGTGTGCAGGACGCAACTCACTCTCATCTCCTCATCCTGTGTCTCAAACCTTGCTGGCGATCGCGCGACGCTCTTCTTCGCCCTGGCCTTCCCAGCTGCCCTGTGCGAGCTCTGCCCGCTCATTCTGCGCGAATTCGACGCTGAGGTCGCGAGCCGCGATCTCAGCAAAGCCTCAATCGGCCATGCACTTTCATAACGCTGTAGCAAGAATGGGAACTCCGCGCATGCCTGTAACGCAACGCGACGAGTGAGTTCAGCAGGAGAACGGAGGTCTGGGAGGACGAACCTCGCCAGTAACCTTCTTCAAAGCGTCATCGTCTTGCTCCTGATACAGCTTTCTCTCATCCAGGTACTTTCCTTTCAGGTAGCGCAGGGATTTCTGATGAGAGATGGCTTTAACCGCAATGCTCGCACCGTTGTCCACAGGTCGCTGCGTGTGCCTCACCTGGAGCTGGAACTTTTCGTCGTCCGACATACCAGATATCGCCTTGAAGCTCCTGACATATTTCCAACTCGCTGGTTGAGGAATCATGCTGGTGACAATGGGTAGATTGTTCGCCTGGTCCATGGCACACGGCAGGGAATGGTTGAGCCTAAGCGCTCAAAGCGCCCGAGGTCAACGGCTTTCTGGTTCGCTCGGTCAAGTATCCATCAACATCAGGCCTAAATCTAAAGAATTCTAGATGAATTAGCCCCTACAGCATATAACCAAAGCACTAGAAAGTGTGGCATCGTCTGAGATTTCAACTGTGTCAGTGCCATTTTGCTCTCGAACAGGCCGAATGAACATGACATCAACTTAAAGCTCTTCCAATGTACAGAATTAAGTGCCAGATTCAGTGCCAGCTTCAGGCAGGAAAGCATCCAG